CAGAGTGTCACGATCAGAGTCGATGAGTTAGACAGAACTAGGAGAAATTGGCAAGCGTAAAATATAAGAGTTTGACAAGGACCAAATTGCTACAGTAAACTTCAGCTGTTGAGGTCTGCAGTGGTTGGTATTTGTCCAAATGTTCAAAAGAAGTAGCAGAATTAGAAAGGTTTTGTGTAAGGCAAATGAAGGCGGTTATGCAGTTTTGCCTGATTGATGTAAATACTTGTGTTCAAGAATATTTTGTATTATTCCCAGTGTCCCTTATATGTGATATTGTTATTATAGTGAGAATGTATAGGTGATTGTATCAAATGTGATGGCAGTTATCGGTACTGCTGTTTTTATGTTTCCATAATGTCAGCACACCTGTAGCATCTGTACAAGGCCTATTTGTGTTGATCCACAGTAGTGCTTATCTCTCGGTGTTATTCATTTAAAAGCCGTGATTGACAAGTCAAGTATCCATTACAGATTACATATGAAGTTCTATTGTGAGAGCTTCATCAGTGACTTTTGGCCTACAGATTTATTGACTTACCAGAAAATGTTAACGCAATATTATGTAACTTTTCAGCACCTCCAGGTTCTTTTCGGTGACACTGTGCAACAGATCATTTAAGTGTGTTTGAAGGTATTGTGCTATTTTTTTAATGGCCAAAATTCCTCAAATGGCACCTATAACAGGAACCAGAAGCCCACAAATAAGCTAATAAAACCACAATAAGTGTAGGTTTTAAGAGCTAGCTGTAACCATTAGATTTTTTTAAATGGATGGATTTTAAAATAGATGAACATGTTTTCCTCACTGATTAAATTGGCAACACGTGTGTAATGTAAAGTGAGTATTTAGCTGTTTTATTCAACTTGAAATTATCATTAGCATTATCATATTAAATGGAGACAAGATAATGTATGTGCTGGACAAGTAGTTACATAAATGTATCTGACCACATTATAGTTTGTGTCATGTGTCACATAAAAATTAACAAAAAAGTGACTATTATAACTATTTTTATTATTATTATAGTTATTATGAGCAATAATTTGCCAGGATATTTCAAAGAATGGAGCATCTGTCTGGAATATGTTTTCATTTTGAGTTATTAATTTAAGAATTCCATCCATTTAACTTAATAATCCTAAAATATTATTTCATAGTCAAAAAGTAAGTTGTATAACGCTTCAAACTATTTCAGTTTATTTTCTTATATTACATAAAAATTGGCCATTCCCTCTGTAAAAATGTATATATATATATATAAATATATATATATATATATATATATATATATATATATATATATATATATATATATATATATATATATATATATATATATATATATATATATACACTAAATCTTAAAACCTGCAGCTTTAAAGTCTTGTAGTTCTGCAAGAGTTTAAACTATTTACGTAAATATATTTTATTCCTAGTTTTAAAGGAATACATTGTAATGTTGTAGCAAGCTCAGCAAGGAGTCAGCTTGTGCAGGTTTGACACAGGTACATGTACAGATGTAGTGAGTTAACATGTAATATAACAACAAATATAGTCACTGATAAATTATACTTTATTCAACTATACAGTCTTTCCAGATGTGAATATGCACCATTTTCTGAAATGTAATAAATTCTATCAAATAAATCTTTTTTTTAATGAAACTGTAAGTTGTGATTTTTTGAAACCATACATGCACTATTATTGGGTTGAAGTTCTTTAAATAACATCAAACTCAAGCTTTGTCTGTCAGAAGATACATCAGTAGTAATAGACCTTCAATATCTAATAAGTATATTTATGTTGTTAAATGGATAAATATAGAAAAATAAGATAATGGATCAGGTCACTATATTAGGTTCAAAACATGTAAGTTATTCTATTCTACATTCATTGACGTTACAAATACTTTTCTGGTGACAGTTCCGTAAATTTCGTGTCCCTCTAATGATTAACTTACTTGATGAGACTTATGTAAACACAAGCCACACTCCAAACAGTACTGATGAAATGCCTTCAGCTGATAAAGGAGATAAACACTGAAAATTTCATCCTCACCGATGTGGTCATGTGTTGTAATGATTGGGTGCATTTATAGATCACTCTTGAATATGATATATCTTATGTTTTGATCAAATACATTTTATTTAAATAAACACCTTGCATAATCAAATCAGTATTTGTAACACTTTTTATGAGTAGGCCTATGTGACAAGTTATCATTTTACTTGTCAGTTCACACAAGTAGCGTTTCAGCTGTAAAATTTTCTCTCTTAGGCTTATTTGTTATGATAAGCTGTCCAGAGTTTATAGGCCTTGTAAAAATAAATAAATAAATAAATAAATACTTATTTACTTGTGCAGTTCAACAAAAAAATATAATAATAATAAAAAATAACAATAAAGAACATAATTAAATAATATTACAAAACATACAGATCTTTTTATTTATTTTTTTGCGTTTGTGCATGTGGATGTAGTATGTGATTTCCGCCGCTTGGTGGTAGCACAGTGATCTACATGAGCAGTCTCCGCCCCTCGACGAGAACGTCCGAAGAAGACCACTCAACAACAAAAAATGTGAAACTTCATTTTCTTGCCACAATAATCTGCCCTCCCGTGACAGCGATGGGACTCTTACCCCACACCAGCCCCGTGCCCTGGTTTTTACTCCTCACTCTCTTTTACGTGGGGCAATTTAGATCGGTGAGTGCAACTTATTGGATCCTTTCTCGTGACTCAGCCTTGTTTTTGCTGCTACTGCTATGAAAAGGTGTTGGCTAACCATACAATACGTTGAAATATATGGATAACAACACGAACTATTTCTGAATTTCTGCAGGCTTAAAGTTATGATTTTTATAGAAATTGTGTTTAACGTGATTCTGATCGCTTTGACTGACGAATAAGAAAGCTGCATACTTTAGCCTAATCAGCAACACATGAAAAAAAAACAACCCAAAAAACAGCTTTACAATGTACATAAACTTCTGTCAATAAGAATCACGTCGCTTATAGTCAGTGTATGTTGTTAGGGGTTTAATGCGTTTATTATTATTTTTTTGATCATATATATTGTATATTCATGTAGAGCTTGATGTGAAACTTGAATGAAACTTGTTGAGATGAATACTAGATACTGTTTGACATTTCACAATACTAGTAGGTAGGTTAGGCATGCAGAGAAGTTAGCAGTGACTAAAGATGACTAAAGCTCTGCATGTGTCATAGGTTTGATTTGCGTTGGCACAACAAAAGGCATTGTAATGTGTGCTTTTTATATTAATACAACTTCAAACTGACAAAGTCTGCATTTCCAAGACAAAGAGACACGTTTTTTTCTTAATGGTTAGTTACAGTGTAATTGGATCACATTGTACTTTCTTCAAGTCAAGCTCAAAGGTGTCATAAAGCTCATCTAAAATGCTGTCTAGACACGAATCATGTAGTATTTAGAAAAGGAGTTGTTGTTTTTTTTTTTTTAGTTATGCTACCACAGTCGGAATAATTGTGACTAATCGTGACTTTTACAACAAAGACAACAACTCTATTAAATCAAAATGTCAAAAATGCACAAATAATTTCTGTTTTTCACCAATAATATACTGTATACCTAAATACGTTCTGTCTAGAAACCTTCAGTCATTACATTTCAGCTTTTTGTTTGGTTAAAATGTCTCATTGTACAATAGAAATCATCCTTTGACATTCAACCAATCAGTGAAATAACTGCTGACTACTGGATTACAAAAATAACTGTAATTGCAGCCCTAGTAGTGCTGCAGATTAATATTGTTACCTGAACTTGTGGACCACTGCATGACCTTATCTGAACACAACGTGATTGTCATAACACAGTTTAGTACAATGCCAGTTTCTACACCTCTCTATTCAAATGAAGGTCCTTGGACTTAATCCTTTCAGCAGAAGTAGGCCACAGGACGCTGGGTTTATTCCCTCTAACAGTTGTGCACTAAGTGAATTAACTTCCCTATGTTACCCCAGTCACATGTGAGCAACTCTGCTGATGAGACGTTTTTATTCAAGTATGACGTTGATGTGTCATTTTTATATGCAATACAGCAATGTTTTTCCACTCTAGTGTACCCCTCTGGCTAGATATTGGTACATTGGACATTGATACAATTGGTAATACTTATGCTTTATTGCCATTTAGTTAACGATAAAAAATGTTTTCAATACTAAATAGACAAATAATTACATACAGACATATTGCATGTATTGTTGTTCAAAACATGCCACACACAGTAAACATTCACTATGACTGTGCTTTAGAGACTTTCCCATTTGTTTAGTTTTTTTCTCTTTTACTGTTTGCCTGCACTTTGATAATATTGTGTTTTATTTAAGGACTGAAAGAGGACTTTGTTTTAAAAAGATATTTAAAGCAGTTACTAAAAAATGCACCAGTTACTAGAAAACGCACCAGGAAATCTTATCACAGGTTTGAGGAACTTTGAGCATGTGTATACTGTTTTTACCTTTGTGTATAGGCACGGGTTATTTTAGTGAAAGGCTTAAGGTCACACATTTGTGCTAGAGAAAAAGGCAAAAATGGCAGCAAATATTGACTTTAAGCAGACGAGTTTAACTTATCTTGCAATATTCACACTAATGTTTGAGGAACTACTGTCCCTTGTTTGAAAAACAAATGCAATAATTGGATAATGTTATTACTTTTAAATGTTTATTGAAATGCACTAAGTAATAATAAATGTTTAATTACTGTTATATTAATCTTGTCTTGCTTGGTTTTAGACTACGGGCAAGGAAATTAGACTTTGGTAAGGCACCATAGTCTCCTGTATTGATAGAAGATGCTGCATTATGACTAGGGCTGCAATAATTAATCAGAATAATTATATTTTTTATTGTATTTTGATCGTAATTAACTGGACTATACGGAATCTAAAGCATTTGCCAGAAGACATTTTATAACAAAGACAGTGGCATTATTTATTCAAAATGCCAAAAAGAGGAAGGAAAAAAACTTTGATATTTTGTATCAGGAAGTCTTATCTTCTTCATGTAATTCAACCTTTATTTGAAAGTAGTAAAAATCTCAATATACAAAAATAGAAATAACTGAGTAATCCAAAAAAAAACTCTGTCTATTCAACTACAAAAATAATTGTCAGTCACAATCCTGCTTATGCTTTATTGCTCAAATATTTTTTTGTGTTTCTTTCAGGTTGGGGCTGATCACTGTGTCTGGTATGGGGAGTGCGACCCGACCCCAAAATTGCCTGACAAAAAATATAACTGCAACTACACAGGACCCCCTCAGCCACTGCATCCTGAAGGATATGAACTCCTCGCGGTACTACGCTCACCATGACTTATTTTGACTATTGAAAAGTATTGTGCAAAAGTAAATACTGACATATTATCTCTGCTGCAGGAGCTTTGTCCTGGTTTAGACTACGGTGACCGGGCTATCTGCTGTAATGTTGACCAGTTACGCACTTTAAAAGGAAGTCTGCAGCTGCCCCTTCAGTTCCTGTCTCGGTATGTGATGTTTTTCAAATTAACTAATCAAGCATGTGACTTTCTAGGTGGGGTAGTTTTATTCTCTTCCTCAAAATCATTAGCTCAAGTGTTATGTGTATTTGCCACTCTTAGCATCAACCCTCAGATCTGCCATTTCTCTCTTCCTATATCATCAATACACAAATTTCTATCTAAAATTCATTGTGATTTTACACACAAAAGACACATTTTTTTGTCAGCTTAAGCATCAAACAATATTCATATTCATAAAATTCATCTAACAAAGTGTAAGCATATATTTTTATTTATTTTGTTTTGCCTAATGGTTGTATAAATTAGATTAGATTAGATAAATTACATTAGATTAGATTACAGGCCTGTGTTTACGGTTTGGTTGCTAGGTAACAGTTATGGAATTGCCTCTCTGCAGCTCATGTCCGACCAGGAAGGAAAATAATAAATTACGGGATTCCCTAGAAGCTGGGTGGGACTTAATGTTTGATTGCAACCCACTTTTAAATATTGTTTTCCTGTTCACCTGTGCTGCCAGGTCTAAACCAGGAATAAAGCAGTGTTAAACCTATTCAGCTGGTGTGAAAAACAGACTTTAGACAAGACAAAGCTAATTTAGACCTAAAATTATAACAATAAGAAAAGGAAAAGTTTTTGTTTGAGTTTCTGTTGATGCATCTGTGGCACCTTTCCCCCCCCAAACAGTTATGTGAAATGACAGCCACTTTGCATTAGTGCTTATGCTTGTAAATGTAGATTTTTGTCAATATATTTTTTCACACTCAAATTAAGGTTAGGTATAAGATCAAGGTTAGATTTAGAACTAACTAACCGGGTCTCACCAAAATTGAACTGTAATTTTTAGACAAAAGAAAATTATAAAGGTATTAACTTTATTTAACAGATCACAAAAAATATACTGTCAATTTCGCTGAACCTTAATATTTGCTGTAATTACATGTGCTGATTATAAAATGAACTCTCCAGGGAAAATACATCACACAGCACTTGGTTTGCATTGATTAACATGGAACACTAAGCCCAGAAATGCAGTAAATTTAGTGTGTCCCAATAAACAAATTAGGGAAAATCTTAAATGTAATTATGTTAACTATGTTTTAGTGAAATTTGTATTCTATCCTGTCATTTTTATGTACTTTTTTTAAAAATGAACTTAACCAAACTAAAACCAAAAGAGCATGTTTTATATAAGGGTAGTTATGAACTCAAATTGTTTTGTTGATCTAATATAATTTGTCAGTCAGAACTTTGAACAAATGGTTGGCTGTGTGAAGAGAGGAGTGGTGAAGGTTTTAAAGCACAACCATTTTATTTTCCAACTTGTTTCAACTTGCTTAGTTTCATCAGGGTGTGCAGCAAAATGGACAGGTACATCTTTTAATAATGAGAGGACTTGTGAAACCTTTAATTGAACAAAATCTGCTTTCTTTATAATCGGCCAGCTATTTTTTTGTGTGATAAATGGTGTTGTTTTGATGTAGAAGTAACTGAATAAAATAGACTGCAGATTCAGACAATTACTTGACGCTGGTTTGTCATTTATAGGTGAAAAATTTCATTCTTTTATTGTTTAGAGGTGGGAAGCTGATCAGACTTTAGTCCAACTGTTGTTTTGTGTTCATGCAATGTTATAATATAGAGTATACGGTCTACCATAAACAGTTAGGCTCCAAAAAATGCGCAGTGTTTAACCTATTTAGGGTATAAGGTAAAATTTCTGGACTGTGATACTTGAACCTCAACCAAGACTTCAGCAGTATAATTTTTGTTAGTATTACCCAACCCCTGTTTAGTTATTACTGATGCCTAAAGCACATTTATTTATTTAATTACATTTGTGTGCAGGTGTCCCGCCTGTTATTTTAACCTGATGACCCTGTTCTGTGAGCTGACATGCAGCCCTCATCAGAGCCAGTTCATGAATACAACTTCATTCAGCGGAAAAAATGTAGTAGAAGTCCAGTACTACATTGGACAAAGATTTACAGACGGTAAGAACTTAAACTGTTTCATACTGAATCTTACTTAGGGAAGTGACATGTGAGGTATGTTCGCAGCTGTAACCAAAAGACAGAAATATTTTGAGTAACAAGTGGTCATAGATGTTGTATAAATAAGAAAGAGGAAATACAGTCACAAGTTTCCTGAATCTTAAAATAATCTGTGTTTTAGCCATGTACAATGCCTGTAAGGATGTCCAAGCACCCTCTAGTAACGTCAAGGCCCTGTCACTGCTCTGTGGGAAAGACGCCAGTCAATGCAATGCCACCAACTGGATTCAATACCTATTTGATATCAATAATGGGCAGACACCGTTCTCAATAGTGCCCAAATTTTCAGGTAAGATATATTGTGGGTAGAGTGATCTGTATTGCAACTCTAATCAGTAAATGTTATTATCATGTCTTTGTGCAGTACACTCCACCCAACTTGACTAATGATGTGTGAATGTTGTGTGACAATTAGTATATTGTGGTGTCAGGAATCGCTGTTGGGGTGGATTAGCAGCTATGCTAATCAAAGTAAAATGATCTTGAATTAAAAAGTACTTCATAGGACTAATGTACAGTACATAAAGCAACAAAAACTGACTTGTGTTCCCCAGTGATTGCACTATTAAAATCTCTGCTGTTATGATGGTAGATAATTGTTTGCCTTTGAGGTAGTAGTTGATGTGCAATAAATTATCGACATTACACCAAAATCTGATCATTATCTGATGATGTAAGTTATCTGATTTCTTTCTAACTTTACTTCTCTAGAGATAGATAGATATAACAGTTTAACAATATATTGGGCCGATATGTGCACTTTTTGGAATATTGGCTGTCGGTCTTAAATCTCCTTCCTCAGCTGTTTTTTGGTTTGGCCTCACCAACTGCAACATAAAGCAATAATGGCATTCACAAAATGAGATTAGACAGCATAATTTCAATTCATATTTTTGGGTGGTTATTTTTTTTTTTTTAAACAATATTAGCCATACATATTGGCCCAAAAATATCCCCAGGTCATCAGTTGCTTTGGATTCTAAACAATCGGTATTGCATCGGCCATGACCAAAAAAGAATAATGGTCGATCACCTGTGCCTTTTTTGACAAATGCGAAACAGAAAAGATTGTTTTTTTATTTGAAAGTTCATTGTATTTTGTCTTCCAAATACAACCGCTATAAAAATGTATTGGTTAACTGACACATGCCACCAAATGTTTTTGATTATCTATTTATTTGTATTTGTAAACACACACCAAAATCAGATCTAATTATTGGGTTATCTGATTATTCTGATTATCTTATTTTTTCAGGCCTTGTAAATGTACCCACTGACATTCATATTATACTATTTTTGCTATGTTTTAGATACACCTCTCGCAGGCTTTAACCCCATGAACAACCGTACATTTAACTGCACCGAGGGCCTGGAGGACGGGTCGGGCCCCTGCTCCTGTCAGGACTGTACCCCGGCCTGTGGTCCCACACCGGTCCCTCCCCCTCTGCCCCCTCCATGGACCATTTTGGGGATGGATGCAATGGTGGTCATCATGTGGGTCTCATACATGGGCTTTCTCCTGGTCTTTGTGGGACTTGTGGTTGGAGCTTGGTGCTACAAGTAAGTTACAAATATATTTTTTTGGTTTCATTTGTACAAAGTATGAGGAAAGTATAGTTTCATTTTCCTCATACTTTGTACTGAATTGTCAAGCCTTGGGGTTGGTTTTGTTTGTTTTAGATTATCGCTTCCTTTTTGTTAAGAGAGTCACAGTAATATATCTATTATACAGTAGTAGCAAGAATAACCGTGTTAAACAGTATATTCAGTTATTCAACATATGACAAAAATTTGAATTTGCAATAGTAAAAAATTAAAGGTACACTATGTAACTTTTCGGTTGGATCTGTGGAGAGGTGATGCCAATCTCAGGAAGAATGCATGCATTTGAGTTTTTTTTTTCCTTTTAGTAATTAGAAAATGACAGATGAGTTTAATGCTATAGTGTGAAACATTACCTTCTACGTAATAACAAGCTGACGGCATATAACCCTCCAGAGAAGTTATATTGTGCAAGTTAAAAATCTGTTATGTTTGCACAAGTGGTGACATGATGTGTAGGCCTGGGCCATGGCAAAGCCTCCATATTAAATTTTGACTTTAATCCTATTTTTGACTCTGAACCCAACTTATAGCAAAATCAGTTGTACATTTTTTCTTTCATGTAAAAAGAAAAAAAATGGCTCAATGGTTTTGTTTGTTTAGGAAAAGGACAATCATGTCAGAATATGGCCCCATTCTGGACAGCAACAGCCCACTATCTCTGAACAGCAGTGACCCCGATCAAGGTAAGACAAACAGTTCACTGTGTGTGGAGTTACATTTTAAAACACAACTTAGTTAATTCAACTGTATTAAACTTTTACTATTCCTCTTAAAGTATGTTGTTTTCAGATGTTCTTTTTTTATGTTTTATTTAACCTTTACAAACACATTCATGCACACATTTGGAATCGCCTTTGATCCTAATTCACTGCTATTTCCTGCTGACACAATTTTTTTGACTTTTTGTCAAAGAGGTAAATAATATTGAATTTCAACTTCCAACAACCAAACCAACAAAATCATCTATCTTTAGGGAAAAACATGCAGCAAGAAACTATTAAGAAAAACAGAAGGGTCCTTTTATAATATGTATGTTATTGAAAATCCACTATCTGTTCTTTCTAGTGAATGCATCCTGTTGTGAGAGACTGGGCGAGCGCTTTGAGAACGCCATGCGTGTTGTCTTCAGTTCCTGGGGGTCTTTCTGCGTGCGCTACCCCCTGCTGGTGATCCTGGGCAGTATCATCCTGGTGGCAGTGTCCTCTGGTGGCCTGGTTTACATGCGTATCACTACTGACCCTGTGGAGCTGTGGTCATCTCCCAGCAGCCAGGCCCGCAAAGAAAAGGACTACTTCGACAGCCATTTTGGACCTTTTTTCAGAACGGCTCAGCTGATCATTACAACACCTCTAAACATTCCCGATGTTTACAAGCCATACATTCCTGGGCCAGATGTGCCGTTCAACACTATTCTGACCAAAGATATTCTTCATCAGGTGGGAGTTGAAAAAGTCCTGAACAATATTTGAAAACTACATGCAACTTGAATGAATTCTGCAATGAAATGACTGAAAAAGAAAAAGAATGTTTTGACCGTGCTAAATATTGTATGTTTAGATCTGTATTTCCCTAATCCTCCGGGGGAAGAAAATCATCAGCGTGGTAAATGAAAAAGTGAAACTAAATTTGGGAAAGATTTTGGATTAATGAAAATACCTTTTTAATAATTTGGTTATTACAACAGACATGGCCTTAATCCTCCTCTTGATCACTTTTTATAAATATTTATTTCCCTCATAACATTTGTTTTAAATCTTCAAAAAATACTTTTGAAAAACATGCTTTCTTAAAGTAAGGGGACTCGCCCCCTAGTTCTGACCTGCAACATGCTTTAAGGACATACAGAGGAACATTCAGAATCTATACAGAAATACTTGCACTATAATATAATGTTTATCAAAGCATTTTTACCACATCATTACTGTACATTTTAACATTTGCTGACACAATAATACATTTGCTCTCCTGTATGTTTTTTAGCCACAGTAGCTTTAAAGTTCTGGCTAACTGTTTCTCCTGTTCATCTTTCACATTTGTTTTGCAGGTTTTGGATCTGCAGCTCGACATTGAAAACATCGTAGCAACCTTTGAAGGTCAAAACGTGACACTGAAAGACATCTGTTTGGCTCCTTTGGCTCCGTACAATAACAACTGCACTATCCTGAGTGTGCTGAACTACTTCCAGAACAGCCACGAGGCCCTGGACCGAACCGTTGGAGATGAGTTTTATGTGTATGCCGACTACCACAGCCATTTCCTTTACTGCGTCAGGTGAGGCACTTTATGCAAATGCATGTAAGTTCTGACAAAATTATTGTCTCTTTGCAATTTCAGTTTAAAGAAGACATATTAGTCTTATTTATCAGGTATTAAGCAGTAATCTGTAACATACATAGATAATGATTTTACATTTTTCACTGCAAACTACAATATTGATCTAAAACGGCTGAGCAATACAAACAAGTCCAGTGAGTTCCTGTTCAAAGCTGCAGAAAGATTTATGATAAATGCATCATAAAATTATCATAACAAATGCATAAAAGGCATTGAAAGGATGGATAGGAAATCAAATAACGAAGAATACTGCACTAAGATAATTTAATGCAACATTTTTAATTGTTTTGGCTAATTCTGAGTAAAAATGAAACGAACCAAGATGTTATAAGCAGTTAGATCAGCATTTTATGAATGGTGAGGTTTAAATGTGCACAAATGAAAGCAAAAGAGTTTTTGTGTTATATTTTTTTATGTGTTTTACAACGCAATGAAATCTAGTTTGAAATTCTGTGTTGGACCATTAAATATACACTGAGACCTTTCAAGATATTAATATTTACACACTTGAAATTGGTTGTGTTATAAAAGTTGTTAGGGTTCACTTCTGAGACACAGTGGCCTTCAGAGCTGATTACAGATGTATGTGATGATGTAATGCCAGACTGCCCTTGACACTGACCAAAGCCAGAGCACAGATGCACTGAATATATTTCTGTTTTGACAGTGCACCTGCCTCTCTGAACGACACTACCCCCCTCCATGACCCCTGTCTTGGGACGTTTGGAGGTCCTGTGTTCCCCTGGCTGGCTCTTGGGGGCTATGATGGTGAGAAACATATACATTTTGTGTCATAGTTTGCACAAAGGTTGAATTGGATGGCTACAGTATGTGGAAAAGTTGAAGGTGAAAGACATCATATTTTGGTAGCTATAATATTATCCTGTATCCAGTATCTTAAGACAATTAGCGATTATACATTTTCAATTTTATTTCAGAGTTACTTCACATCTTTAACTAACAGGGGAGAATCTTCTTTACTGTACTTAACATGTCCAAAGCCTGAAAAAAAAACAAAAAAAACCTCAAAGTCAAAGCTATATTCAAAACATTATGCATATCTAGGCCAAGGCAGACTAAAGAAGAAAATTACAATGTGTTTGTTCACATTTTTTCTGTACATAATCTATAAATGATTATGTTCTTTATAGACTGTATGTTTCACCATTTGATCTCTGACTGAGTACTTCTAAACTTTTTTTTCCTAACAGGGACCAACTACAACAATGCTACAGCACTTGTTATCACATTTCCACTTAACAACTACAAAGATGATGATGTACATAAAGGCAAGGCTATGGCTTGGGAAAAAGAGTAAGAATACTACTATACTACTGCTATTACTACTAATACTACTATTATTACTATCACTACTATTTCTACTACTGTCACTACTATTACTACTACTATCATTGTAAAACAACTTGCCTTGATATTGTTTGTACTGTATTTATTTTTAGGTTCATCAGATTCATGAAAAACTACCGCCAACCCAACCTGACAGTGTCCTTCAGTTCTGAGAGGAGCATTGAAGACGAGATCGACAGAGAGAGCAACAGTGACATAAGCACTATTATACTGAGCTACGCCATCATGTTCGTCTACATTTCCTTGGCTCTGGGACACATTGAAAGCTGTAGGCGTGTCTTGGTAGGAATTCTAGTCTTTTGCACCATACAAATTAGCCAATCAGGACTATCTTACGATGCTTTGCCCCTCCCATTTTTCCTGTTTAGTCATGCAGCATTAATTCTCAAAGTAGTTCGGCATGTTTTCCATGCTTTGACAAATAATTACGTAACCACTGTGTTTTTTTTCTGTGACAGGTGGACTCCAAGATTTCTCTCGGCATAGCAGGTATCCTGATTGTCCTTAGCTCTGTAGCATCTTCTCTGGGTCTTTTCAGCTACTTTGGTGTGCCCCTCACCCTCATTGTGATTGAGGTGATCCCATTCTTGGTTTTGGCGGTCGGAGTGGACAACATCTTTATTATAGTGCAAACCTACCAGGTAAACTAGTCACAGAATACATGCACCATTACTTCATATGAGCCATGCATACTTTAAAGTGATGTTCATTGTGGAGTATCAACTGTTATCAACATCTTTTACTTTATGAGTGAACTGTAATTATCCAAGATAGAAATGTGATAAGAAGTACTTACAGAATATATCTGGCTGCATCTGATTTTTCATTGGTGACTCCTGGTCTAGTCCTGGTCTAGACCTGCTTCAAGTTTAATACCTGTTTTGTTCAATTTTAATGATTTGAGTGCCATTATACCACGTCTTGTATATTTAGTGTACTGTAATGTTTCATGCTTTACCTTTTCACTTTACAGATTAAAATGGTCTTGTAGTACATTACAATATACACATATCCTTTTTGATATAATTACCAGTAAATGTCCACTCACCAAATTCTTGTATTTGTGACAGAGAGACGAGCGTATGCCACAAGAGGAGCTTCACCAGCAGATCGGCCGTATCCTTGGAGATGTGGCCCCGAGCATGTTCCTCTCCTCCTTCTCTGAGACTGTGGCATTTTTCCTCGGTAATGTAATAACGTAAAAAATAATAAATCATGAATATATATGTTTTACTAATATATGTACATCTTTTTTTTGCATTCAGTGTTTTTCATTTTACAAGCAGTAGCAAAATAGCCTTTCTTTTTTAGCCCACAACACAGTCTGCCAGTTTGATTTTATACACCTACCGTTCTGGTTTACACCAATTTTCTGATCCTCTTTCATGTGCCCCATCTCTGCTCTTCTGTCAGTTTCCTCTTTGCTCACATGCTGACATGTGTTTTTTTGTTCAGGAGCCCTGTCCAACATGCCCGCCGTGAGGACCTTCTCTCTGTTCGCTGGTTTGGCCGTTTTTATTGATTTCCTGTTGCAGATCAGCTGCTTTGTCAGCTTACTCGGCCTGGATGCCAAGAGACAGGAAGTATGTCAACAAAACTTGTTAGTTTTTGTTTAGCTTATTATTAGGATCCCCAATAACTGACTGTACAGCTTGCTAATCTTTCTAGAGTCCTTTTTTACAATACATTAATAATTATCCAATTAAGCAAGCTATATATAATGATCATAGTAATGGAATATAAAAAATTATTATATGCACACATAGATATCTTTTGTTCAGTTTTTATTAGAAATTATGTTTTGTTTTTTTGTATATAAAGTCAGTGTTGGTGTTTCAGTGTTAGCAGCAGTTGTAAAATTGTTTTGACCTGTATAAAATCAATAACTCTCAACACTGACCCCGCAATTACGTAGTATAATGGTTTATCTTTTGTGTAAAAGGGGAATCGTTTGGACATCCTTTGCTGTGTCAAACTATCAGAGGGTCAGGAAACCAAAACCGATGGATGCCTCTTTAGATTTTTCAAGAAAGTCTATGCTCCCTTTGTGCTCAAAGAGTGGGTGCGACCTGTCATAGTAAGTGCTGTTGTGAAATATGTGAATAGTCTATTATGTTTTTAACTTATTACTTTTTGCACTCAGGGATGATACATTTGTTCTGTTTGATTAGGTGGCAGTATTTGTTGGCATGCTCTCCTTCAGCGTTGCCGTGGTGAACAAAGTTGAAGTTGGACTGGACCAGAAATTATCAATGCCTGATGTAGGTTCGACTTTGGTATTTGTACATCCCATTTGAATCCCTGTTTCTATTAGATTGTTAGAATCATAATTCTTGCTTTATACAATTCTTCACATTGTAGGATTCGTATGTGTTGGATTACTTCAAAAACCTGTCAGAGTACCTCCACACTGGGGCTCCTGTGTACTTCGTGGTGGAAGATGGACTTGACTACAGGAGCCTGGAGGGACAAAATGCTGTGTGCGGTGGAGTGGGTTGCAACAACAACTCTCTGGTCCAACAGGTCTACACTGCCTCACAGATTAGCAACTAGTAAGTCTAACTTTCTCTTAGCATTTAGGTCAACATTAGGAATGAGACTTTTATGGCATTGCAATAAAAAATTTACTTTCATTTTTTATCTTAGTACTACGATTGGATTCACACCATCGTCTTGGCTTGATGATTACTTCGACTGGGTGAAGCCACAGTCCACCTGCTGTCGCTACTATAACAGCACAGGGGCTTTCTGCAATGCTTCAGGTAATTTTAATGGAGATTGCCCTGAGAACTATTTTTAAGGTAGTTGTAGCCATAAACAGCTGTAGTTGAATACATTAAAGATAAATACATTTAATATTTACATGCAATGGGGAATGAGAAGTGCATTTTTAATAAAATAATAACATGCAGCAGGCAATCCACAGAAAAGTTTCACAGTGTACCCTAAGGTATTTTTATAAGTTTGATAAGTTTATCTTATTACAATTAAACTTTAATCATATTTACTCATTTTTAAAAGACAAATTGGAATAGGGAACGAGAAGTGCATTTTTTTATTTTTGGTATTTTGATAAAATAAATAATATAAGTTATCTAATTGGATAATAGTTTATTGTAAATATGTAACTTGTCTGTATCACAAAGATGTATCAAAGAGTCAAACTTAATTATATTTTGAAAATTAAGTACATGAAGTAAGACATTTGCTGTGAACGTTTGACCTCGAGAGGATTATACAAGTTTATTTTCCAATTTATAGCCCTTGGTGTATAATAACTTTTTACATGCCACCATCTAATCTTTTTACAGAACAGAAGTAGGCCATTAAACAATAAACATCATAAACCATGGCTGAAAAACAATAAACAAACGATAGTCTTTCTTGTTCCTCAAAATGTTATATTTCTTGTATTTTCTTTTTCAGTGGTGGATCCATCTTGTGTCCATTGCCGGGACATGACTCCTGAAGGAAAGAAGCGGCCGACCGGAGATGAATTCATGCACTTTCTGCCAATGTTTTTATCAGACAACCCCAACCCCAAATGTGGAAAAGGGTATATTTTTTGTCATATTTGTATCCCCTCAAAGATTCATGGATAGACTCAAAGTTAAAGGAGCACTATGTAACTTTACTGGTGGAGGGTCCGCTACCTGCTTTTCTCCATAAAGATGGTCTTGCCTAAAATGTTCCTGTGCATTAAACCTGTGTATTCCCATGGAGACAAGCAGGTAATGCCACTGGGCCAAGTTACAGACAGATCTGCTCATGTTTTTCAAGTCTCTTGTAGTTGAATAAATGCAACATGGAAATATTAAATCATCATTGTAATTAATTCATATTATGAGCAACAACTTCATGGATACAAACTACTGCAGACTTTCACCAGAACAGTTACATAGTGCACCTTTAAAATATATTCTCTGGCACTGATTGCTTTTATGCTATGTAAGCCATCCATTCTCATGATTTGTTTTTATCTTGCTCTTTCAGTGGTCATGCAGCCTATGCTTCAGCAGTGGACCTGGTTAATAATAACACAGATGTTGGAGCGTCGTACTTCATGACATATCACACCATTTTGAAGGAGTCTCCAGATTACATCAATGCTTTGAAAATGGCTCGCACTCTGGCTCAGAACATCAGTGCTGCCATGAATCACACAGTGTTTGCATACAGGTACATACTTTCATATGAATGTTGAGCAATAATTACTGCAGAAAATTGTGTGGGAAATTCATTTCTCTGCATTTGGCCCAGACTTTAATGCCACTGGAGTGTTGCTGTTAAAGTGTAATTTTTTCACACACATAATGAAGTGAATGTGATTCTACAGATTTTAGTTCTAATGCAGGGTAATGTTTTGATCCTCCCCTCCTGTTTTCTTTCTCCTACAGCGTGTTCTACGTCTTCTATGAGCAGTATCTGACCATCACCTATGACACTGCTCTGAACCTGTGCGTGTCACTGGTGGCCATCTTCGTGGTTACCACGGTGCTGCTGGGCTTTGAGCTGTGGTCGGCCGTCCTCGTCAGCTGCACCATTGCCATGATCCTGGTCAACATGTTTGGGGTCATGTGGCTCTGGAGTATCAGCCTCAATGCAGTTTCTCTGGTCAACTTAGTCATGGTGAGAACAAGGGTTTTTCCACTATAAAACATCTCCTTAAGCTCAATGATTGAGCTAAAAAATATAATGGTAATAATTTACATGAACCGTTTAAGAGTCTTTCCTGTTGATAATGTGTAGAACACAATTCAGAGTGACACATGTATCAGTCTTGTGTGAGCCCTCTGTACCATTTGATTTCCCTGTATGTTTTAAGTTCTTTCCTTGTTGTTGCAGAGTATTGGTATCTCAGTGGAGTTCTGCAGTCACATCGTGCGAGCGTTCACCATCAGCATCAGAAGCAACAGAGTGGAGCGAGCGGAGGAGGCACTGGCACACATGGGCAGCTCCGTAAGTCACCACACATTATGGGAAGAGGATTATTGACCAGATTTGCGTTGTGTTGTGTTTGTTGACAATTTAAGACCATGAAATTATTATATAGCTCAAGTTTATTCAGTAACTATGAACAGTTCTCATTTGGTGTTTTATGCATTCATTTAAACCTGAACTCTGATCTTGGAAAAAAGTCTACTCAGCCATATTTGAAAATGTGTTGCAAAAAATGTTGACAACATTTCTGTTTCATATGTTTTTATTCATGTGCAAACAAATATAGATATGTCATTCAAACAACACATGTACACACACTTTCTCCATTTTTATGCAGATAAAACATAACTAACAAAGTTAACTAACAAAAAATAGGTGTAGCGTCATACAATATAATAATAATAATAGAATGATAAAAAATACACTACTACTAATATTATTAACAAATAGAAAATAAATAAATACAAAATAATAATAATAATAATAATAATAATTAATAAAGAAGGGGTGGGTAGGTGGTAATGTTGGCAACATTTATACTAATTATGTATACTTTGTCATTGCTTCTTTACCTGTAAAACAAGTCCACCAAAATATAGTATGCATTTAGTGTAATAAAACATATGAGGATAGTTGACAGATGGGCTTGTTTGTGAGAGAGATTACAACATTAACATTGTTCATTTTAATTTAAAAAACACTTGGCAAGTACTCCACTAAAGTCGCTTGGGTAGGCTCAAAATGCTTATTATTTACTTTATTATTACAAGTACTGCATCTGGATTATATATATAATTTATGATTTAACAGCATTTTTTTTTTTATTCATCCCGAGCATTGAGATCACTGTTGACTAACATAAGAGTCATTCTTTTCATTATAAAGGGGAAATGTGGTATTATAAGATGTAAGTTTGTAGGCAATATTATTAACACTAGAGTAAATAATGTTATTGCAATTTGCTTGTTTTGATTTTGTGTTTTGCTACTCTAATAACTATTTTAATGGCAGGTGTTCAGTGGTATCACACTGACGAAGTTCGGAGGGATCCTGATATTGGCTCTGTCCAAATCACAGATCTTCCAGGTCTTCTACTTCAGGATGTACCTCGCCATTGTCCTCCTGGGGGCAGCACACGGCCTCATCTTCCTCCCTGTGCTCCTCAGCTATATAGGTCAGTATATTTAGCTCAATAAAGAATTATATTATATCATTGGTGATTTTCAGATTCCCAGCCTTATTCCCTGAGGAGGGGCAAGAGACAGTTTTCCTCATTAATTACATTGTACTTTGCCATAAAATAGCCGATATTTAAATTCACAAATGTTGAACCTGATCATTTCTATCAGTGTCTAGACCATAGAACTCACTATATTACAACAAAAATCTGCAATATAAGTTTTAGCTGTCCCCTATATGAAATGTTCTTGGCCTAGAATGTTGTTATCATCTGACTAATTATGTACTGATAGCCAGAGTGAACAAAACACTGGCAAAACAAATTATTCTTTACTTAGACTTTGTCTGACCTAGTCCTGGTCTAGTCCTGGTCGTGTCCTGGTCGTGTCCTGGTCGTGTCCTGGTCGTGTCCTGGTCGTGTCCTGGTCGTGTCCTGGTCGTGTCCTGGTCGTGTCCTGGTCGTGTTGTCCAGGTTTAGTTCCAGATTTAGTCACAATTACATGTGGCGATTGTGCAAATGAGAAATGATTCAAATATGTGTCACCGTCTGTGGAAAACACTGATGCTGTTTTCCTCACCAGTTTATACTGGGACTATGGTGGCATAAGTGATCCATATTTTACTCATTTTATTTATACAATTTATTGAGAATAAATGTCACTTATAGCCTTGATCAAAAAAACACTGACTACAGATTAAATATATTTACTTCTATGTTTATGACAATACTGAAAGCATTATGACTCAAATTTTACACAAATCAGGACTTAAAATGATAGTCTCCATATCATCTTTTTTTTTTCTGAACATTTTTATAGATTGTAGGTTTACGATAAAATAAGAGTAGAATAGAGAATTATTAGACCATATGATATTGGATTTTGTTTGCAAACAGGATAAAGTAATCTATTTTTCCAAATTCATCTACAACTAGTAAAAATATGAATCTTTCTCTTAATGGGAAACACTGAGTACATTCTCATGACCAGTAAAATCAGATAACTTGAATAATCAGAAAACCCAGTAATTAGATTTGATTTTTGGTGTGTGTTTGCATGCACAAAAGACCTTTGATCATCACAAATACCTGGTGACATCAAATAAAATAAAGTTTTTTGCATATTTTGGATTACTCACATCAGATGTAATTGGTGTAGTTTATTGACATTTCAATAATCTGTCTACTTGTGAAGTGTTTCAACAGTGATTTAGGCGTATTGCGCACTACTGTAATGTAATGTATAACTCTGTCTTTTTCACAGGTCCTTCAGCCAACAAGGCCAAGGTGGCAGCATTTAACAGACGGTTCGCTGGTACCGAAAGAGAACACCTGTTGAACTATTAGCCAAATGGACATGAACTTTGAAGTGACTATTGGAGTGGGTTTCTATGATTACTTACACTCATTGTCTCATTGTCGCTGACATGCACAGGCTAACTCAGGATTATATGCTTCAAAATGCATCATCTCCCTAAAAACCAAGGACCGAACCAGGACTACAGATGTCGATTTACACTATTTTTCATCTTCAGTGTTCAAATGCACTGAGCAACTGGAGCAAGATGTGAAAGTAGGAGAGACACCACCCGTGTAACTGCATTATAAACCTCATAGTTATAATCCTAACAGTTTGATTTTGGAAAGGTATAAAGGGTAATACAGAATATTGTTTTTTTAAGAAATGGATACCAAGAACTTATGTGTAAAGATTTATTTGTTTTTAAAGCTATTTAACAGTTTGTATACTGACTTGAACACTGACCATCATACCTTTTAATGGGCCTGAGAAGTACCATTTATCTTGATCTTATTCAGATATTAGACATTTGTAGCATTTGCACCAAGCAATAACGGTTCTGTTTTCTGGTATGATTTAGATTGTAAACCCTTCTCTGCTTTTTAATGTCCAAACAGCTCGTTTTGTAAGCAAAGTCTCATGTTTTAGCTTGTTGCTCCTTACGCCCAGAATAGGTCTCCACAGGCTGCAGTGTAGGCGTAGTGCATCTCTGTCCAAGCTGCACCCACCAGCGCAGATTTTACAGGCTTTTGTTGAGTCTTGTTGTCTTTTGTGTAATTGTCTGTTGTTTTTGGTGATATGTTTTTAAACACACGCCTCAGAATCCTCTGCAGATTCATGCTAAATCCTCATGCTTCTTGTTCTCACAATATTTTCTCTGTTACTGAAGAAAACACTTTATTGTGCTCATTTTTGACATACGACTGACTCTATAATGCAAACACCGTGCAATTCAGTGGTACAGTTTTTTGGCTTTCATTCCAAGTTTGTTTTAACTTATTTTTTATGACATGATAATTAACATGTTTGTTGTTTTGAATTATCTTCTTCCAATGCCCATGCATTATGTTTTTAAAGAAAAAAATTGGCTTCAATAAAACTTGATACTTGATGTCTCTTGTCGAATTGTTCATGAAAAGAGAATTACAATTACTGCCTGGACATTGAAAGGATACTATGATGATTATATTGTTTGTTTTGTATTGTTTTCAGTTTGTCATATGAGGAGCTGCTGGTCTAACTTTAGCCTGTTTTACTGGAGTAACTGTAGACCAATTGTGTTCTGCATTGACACAATCATCACTGTGAAGAATGGCTTTGATATTTTTTAACTCTCATTAAATAGTTGTGTCAATTATGTATGTAAACCTGTGTCTATATCTTCATGCTTCCCAATAACTGCTTAATGGACTAATACATGTTGTAATACTGCAAAGGGACCACCAGGTGGCGCAGTGCCCTCCTCTCGGGTCTTCACTAGTCTCACCATTGAGAGCAGCTCTGTGCAGTGGGAATGACCTGATTTCTATGCAGAAGAAACTCAGAAACTCATATGTCTTAACACTGTCAGCCCGCTCCTCTGCGCGCGCGTGCTCGTGCGCGTGTTGAGGCTGCAGGCTGGAGTCCAGACTCAGCACATCGCGTTTCCTCCTGTCACTAAAACACGCTGATCTGAAGCTTTTGCTCAGTAGCCCCCCGCATCCCTGTGGTGGATCAGGGCTGGTCCGGTGCCAGGTTTGTGCGTCTCCTTTGGATTGTGTTGATGTTCTGTCCAGTATTTGTTGTCACACACGGCTCCAGTTCATGATTTATTGATGCTGAGGCCGCTGAGAGCACGCGCTGTCTTTGAGTCTGTCTGGGGACATTGAAATATTCATGTCCCCCACAGGTCTGCTCCAGTCCCAGTCTGCAGGAGGGCCCCAGGACTCTGTTATGTAAGACCCTCCACTGTCTGACCTGCCCCTGTTTGGGCTTAGGGTAGACCTCGTTACATTACATTAGCCTACAATTTGATTCATAAACAAAACACACGTGCCACATAAACTGAGCACAACCAGTTTGTAATTTGAGATGATCACAATGAAACTAGAGGCCTACTCATTTCATGCTGTCAAATTGGTGGGTATGATCAACCATCTTTTAAGGAATTTGAAGAATTTATTTTCTAAATAGACCTTTCTTAGCAAACTTTATTGAGTCACAAGGGAAATTATTAGAGCACATTAGGTGGTGCTTGCACAGTACAATTACAAAGAGTGACAATAAATGGTGAATTCAAAGTCACAAGGATAGCATAAGATTATAAGGTAAGGTGTGGAGTTTGCACATTCTCTTGGTGGTTTTTCTTTTTCAGCCATGCAAAATCATGCTGTGTGTTAGCACCATACTACAAAAACACACCTTGTTGTTCACTTAAAATGTTGATAAAGCGTTCTGATTTTGTATATCAAGCAGCAACAGCAATAAACATAACAGATTGAACTTTTACTCATTTTTGAAGAAGGTGTGTGCTTTTTGTAAGTACTTCCTTCACCTGAGTTTGTCCCTATTATACTTTCACATATAAATCACCAATATAAACAAACATAACTCTTTAGATGCCTCATATTACTAACTGTTGGCATGTACAGTCTATCAATAAGTATTTAATGAGCTCTAAATACTGTTACTTCATGGTGCTAAATATTGAATGGAGACAGAGACACAGAGAGAGCTCCTACACAGTTCAACTGAGGAAAGTATAATAAGTTTGTTGCTCAAGGCTCATGTCTTTAAACTAGGACAAGAACAGTTATTTCCTGCGTCTGAACAATGTCTCATATAAGTATTGAATCTCCCATAATCTATTTAAAGTTAAACCTCCAAGCTCTTAAGTGTTCACCAATATTTATGCAGGATCCAAGACTGTTCCTTTACATATTTTGTATACATAAGTATCGTTAAAATAAAATACCTCAGGGTAAAAATAATTGATTTCATTGAAGCAGTAATTGCATGGCTTTGCTTGCACGAAGATGACAGAATGTTTTGCACGCTTATAGTCTGTCTGCAGTCTGGGTGGTGTCTGCTGTATCCAGCTGATTTGCAGTGTTAAAAATAAACAACTATACAATGATTTAATGTGCATGTGATAGATTTTTATTATTCTCTGATTTTTGACTTAATTATTGTAAATATAAATCATAGTCTTGTACAGTCAAGAAGCAATTTGTGAAGAAAAGCTGAAAAAAAATGTTGAAAATTTGAAAAGCAGAGTTCAAACATACTTATGACATCACTTAGGGGGAATGCTATCCAAACGTTCAACACAATTTACATTTTTACACATATTTTCTGATACTTACAACATTATTTCAACAAAATAAAGGTGTTTATTATTATTTGTCAGATAATAATTTCTTTGCAAATTGTAGGAGCTTTGCTTGGTAACAGCTATAGAATTCCCTAGAGTGATGTTACAATTTCCAACCAGGAAGTGAAATTTTAAACCTAAAAAATGGCCAAATTGGGAAAACGAGTGTGTGTTATTGCAAAAACATTTAAATATATTGATCTTAACTGTGTTGTAGTAAAATGAGTAGTACAACCTGTCATAGGCACTTTAAGATTGTAGTTATATATTTAATAGACAAAATTGCACAGTAAACAGAGTTAGAAATTGGGTATCAAATTTATCTAAGAGACTGCAATTGAACCTTTGAAGCTACCATTTTAAAGGACTTTTTTTTTTTTTTTTTAAACAATTGAAACTGTAAATTTGTAAATTAGGGCAAAGTAACCAAATAGGATGTTTCTGTCTGTCCCTAAAAGCAGCATGAATAAATGAGTGGAGAGGCGTTTAATGGCCCACTTTACGTCAGTGGTTTTGGATTTCGCTGCTCACCATCTGAAATGGACTCTGGAGTGGAACAAAAGGCTTTGGTAACACAGGTCAGATTTTCACCTGCTGAGCTTTAGCCCTGACCATTCAAAACACTGGCCTGTACTCTGAGGAGAGCCAAGCATGTCACAAACACAAGTGGTAGAGCCGAGGAAAACTGCTCCTGGAATATAATGGAATATAGTATAATGCTGAATGCAATTATGTACGGCATTTTTAATGAAGTTTATGGTTGAACATATTACACATATTGCACTATTTTCAGATCTATGCTATAATGTTGGATCCTCATCACAGAAAGACCTGGAGTTGTGTTTTATTTCATTCACACATGCAGATTTAAGGTGAGTTCTTCTCTCAAACAGAAAACACTTTGTTCGGCTTTGTGATGTCATGTGACAATACAGGAAGTGCTCCAGTGTGTTTTTAAACTCCATAAATCTTCACTAGAATCATCTGGATAATTTCAGCCCTGGAATTGCCATCTCTTCTGAATGAAATGTGAAAGATAGCTGTTAACTTGAACACTACAGTGTTATAACATCACAAGATGGAAAAAAGCATTTTGAGCTTTGGAGATGTAGACAGACTAATAATAAAAGATTACTCAAGTGTGAAGGAAACAAAACAGGTATGTTTTTTAGTGAGATAACAGCATTGTAACATGGCTTAAAACTCACAAGAATCCATTATGTGTAATTATAGGGCATTTAAAGTAGTTTATAGTCTTCTTAGGGAATTTCATCTTCATTTGACCCATCCTTTAAAAATGCAGCTTGAGCATCCTGCCAGGAGT